GCTTGGGGTGGAGAAAAAGAGGTCCTTTCCAATATTCCATGTTAACTGGGCCAGAGCTTGGCAGCCAGGGATGGGGCCGGGTAGAGGGGCCCCTGCATACCTGGCGTGCTGGGATTGCACCTGCCTCCTGCAGCAGCACAGCCACCAGACAGGTGGCCAGGAGAAACCTGGGGGTGCAGAGAGGAAGTGTGAGGTGCCGAGGGGTCACCTCAGCTCCTGATGCTCCGGTCAACACCTGCTGGGCCTGGTATCATGTGTCTTGGACAGAGAGACCGAGGGTAGGTCCCTGCTGATCCCTTGGTAACTCTGATCTCACAGGAAAGGACCTGTAGGCAGGGTGAGCAAGAGGCTCAAGGCACTCCTGCTCCATGTCTTGATGCCAAGCTCTCCACCTGTGACCAAGATACCCCATGCCCTAGACAGATCCTGCTGTGACAGGACACTGGCAGTCAGTGCTAAGGATTCCAGAGGCCATACAAAGGACACACCTATGGGCCTGCACATACATGTGTCTGACAACAGTGACAGGATGGATGGATGGAGGTCCTTGAACAATGCCCTGCCACACTACTGAGGCCATGACCCATGGTACTGGGGTAGGGTGGCCCTTCCCCATCATGCAGACAGAAGGAACAGCAGGTGTTTCTGAACATGTGGTCTAGAAAAGTATTCATGTGTGTGAAATATACATGTGTTTGTTTTATATGGTATACGTGTGTGTGTGTGTGTGTGTGTGTGTGTTCAAGCCTCAAAGAAACCTCTCCTCTCTGATTCAGCACTTCGTGACAGGAGTCAAAGGACAGCAGGTAGGGATCTGTCTGGCCAGATGGAGTTAAGTGGCCCTGTCTCACCTCAGAGCTACTAGTCAGAGGCCTATTCTTGTGCTGGGCAGAGAGATGAACATGGAGAACCTCATCCTAGCTCCTAGCCCCACCCCAATCTCTCTCTCCTCTGCCTCCATGATGACTCGGGTCCTACCGGAGCCCTAGGTCTCCATGAGAATAAAACCCTAGCTTCTGGTGACCAACCCTCAGGTTGCCTGATTCCTGTCCTGCTTCTACTCCCGCCAGGCCTCAAAGGCCTGCTACATATTCCGCTATATGCCCGCTACCCTGCCACTGACCCTTTCTTTTGGGTCACCACAGCCTGGAATTGTTGCCTCTTCCCCAGGAAGTCTTTAGGACCTAATGCTCCACAGGTTCAGAGACACCATGGGACAACACACCGTCATGTATATCTGGAGGTCATTTGGGCTGCTTTTAGAGGTAAACCGTGGGTTACAGACCTGAGGGTGGGTGTTTTACAGAAACGCCATCTTTCCAGCCCCCCGAGGCAAGTATATTAATTATATCATATTAATGATATGTCGTATAGTAACAAATAACTGAAAAGAAAGTTGTGTGACACCATGCCAAGCATGAGACTTCAGTTTACAGAAACACTCTCCCTCCCTTCCCTCCTTCCTTCCTTCCTTCCCCTAAAATGCTCCCCTGGAATCAGGTTTCAGGTGAGGATAGACTAACCCCCAGGGCCTATCGACTCAGACCCAGTGTGACCCTAACCACCCAGCCATGCCCACCCTGGCCAATGCCCAGCTGCCAACTTTTAAGGGTCAGAAAATTAGGGCCCAGGGGCCATAGCATCACCTCTTCATGACTGGGGCTCCCTCTCGGTGCTGAGGAGCTCTAGGCGAGTAGAGAAGCTGCAGGTCCCAGTGTTCAGGTGCCTGGTCCTCTTCCCCAGCCCTGGCTCCTTATGGTTTTATGGCTCCTACATGGGTGTGTCTGGTCAGAGTTCAGTAGGCAGCAATCATCCGGCCATAGGCAACCCTGCCCTGCCATGTAACTTGTGAAGTGAACACAGACTGAGCCACCAGGAGACTTTTTTACTTTAAAAATTCTCTGTATATGTGTGTGTATGCAGGTAGGTATTTACATGTGTAGGTAGCAATGGTGGAAAGGTTAAAGGCACTTGCTGCTCTTGCAAGTTAAAAGGCGGCTGGGTGTGATGGCACACTCCTTTAATCCAGCACTTGGGAGACAGAGGCAGGCAGATCTCTGAGTTGGAGGCCAGCCTGCTCTACAGGGCGAGTTTCAGGACAGCCAGGGCTACTACACACAGAGAAACTCTGTAGTGGGAAACAGAAATAGAAAGCAAGCAAGAAAGAAAAAACCTGACTGCTCTATGAATTAATTACTTTTTGTTTGTTTAAGCATTGACTATACTTGTGGCCAGTAATGACCAAACATAATATTGGTTTTCATGCATTGATATACATGAGTATAAATAAAATATGTATACTGACTATACTGAATATTAAGTCTAATGACTTTATGTCAACTTTAGTTTACTTTTGGGCTTATGATACTTCTTATTCTCTATAATCAGATTGGGTTAGATATCACTTCAGTTTAAACTGAAAGAGAGACAGGGGGAAGGAAGAAAGAAAGAAAGGGAAAGAAAGTTAAAAGGAAGGAAAAATCGTGAGCACAACAGGTAGCAGCTGAGACATCTCCAACATCAGAAAGCAACAGACAGAATCAACAGGTGAAGACCAAGGTTTATTGGGGTGAGGAGACACACACATGCAGACATACAGTAAGCAAGACCCTCTGCAAAGCAGGGGTGAGACTTGGGAAGCCAAAAATTGCAGTCTCTCTGTAGAGCTGGGGTTTTAAAAGTCTATGAAGAGTTTCCTCCCTTAAGTTAGGGTCAGCAAGTTTGAAGAAAGATGGCGTGGTTGATTGGTCCGGAACTGCTATGCAGACATGCCCTAGGGCCTTGAACTTGTTGAGCCAGACCACCAGCAGGGGTCCTGGGGAAGGGAGAAAGGGGGAATTTTAAACTGAAAGGCTTTTGTCTAAGGTCAGGAGGGTGAAGAAGAAGCCAGGTAGAGCCCCTCTCCCTGTCTTCCTACCAGGAAGTCTGTTTAACTCTTTGTCTTTTGAGAATACAAGGTTGGGTAAAAGCTGTGCTATTTTCTCTGTGAGAGAAGGTAGCTTTTAGGCCACTGGTGACTCTGAATGAAAGGACACTAAGATGTACACACAACAGAGATGCTCTGGACTGGGCCTCTTGTGATCGCTTCATAGACTTCCTTGTGAACTAGGTGCTGGATGGTGATATAGGATGGCTTTCTGTACTCTGTGAATATGTTTTATCACCATTGGTGAATAAAGAAGATGATTTGGCCAATAGTCAGGCAGAATAGAGTCAGGTGGGAAATCCAAGCAAAGATATAGGGAGAAGGGCGGAGTCAGAGAGACACCAGCAGCCACCAGGGGAGCAAGATGTGAGGCAACAAGCGACAAGCCTCATGCTAAAATATAGACTAGTAGAAATGGGTTTATTTAGTTGTAAGAGCTAGCTAATAATAAGCCTGAGATAATAGGCCAAACAGTTTGTAATTGATATTAGGTCTCTGAGTGGTTATTGGGAACTGGCCCAATAGGAGAAAAACATCAGGTTACAGAATGGGGCTTAGCACAGGCAGTACCATGAGAACACGATCCTTGATAATCTCAAGGGTTTTTGGTTGGAGCCTATGGAGCTACCAAGCACTCTGAAGGTTCAGAAGATTTTGCCAGTGAGCAAAACCTACCCTGACCCCAGACTTGCCTTTTAAAATATTACTAACCTCATACCTTGGAAAAAGTAACAAATTTACAGATTGCTGTTACATTCCCACTTCATATTTATTTGGAGGGGTTTTTGTGCAAAGTTTATTATTTCTGGATTTTTTTCATAACTTAACACTGGTCAATAAAACTTTTATCTCAAAACAAAACCCAAACGCTTAAAAACTCATTAACAAGAAGACAAACAGCCTGATAGAAAAATACTTTGAATATCTGAATTGATCTTTCACTAAAGAAGACATGCAAATGACAATAGAGTAATATGGATGCAAACTGCAAAGTGTACCACGCATGCCTGTTGGAATCTTACTCCTCCTGGATTGTGTCTCCCCTAAAATTCTACATTGAAGTTCGAATCATTTAGATTGTGACTATATTTATAGACAGGAAGGATCTTTTTAAAAGGCTGTTAAGAACTTAGTTAAGTCTTAGTTAGGGCTTCTATTGCTGTGGTGAAACACCAGGACCAAAAATCAAGAAAAGGAGGAAAGGGTTTATTGGACTTATGCTTCCACATTGTAGTCTATCACTGAAGGGAGTCAGGACAGGAACTGGAACAGGGCAGGAATCTGAAGACAGGAGCTGAGGCAGAGGCCACGGAGGGGAACTGCTTACTGGCCTGCTCCACAAGGCTTGCTCAGTCCATTTTCTTATAGAACCCAGGACACCCAGCTCAGGGGTGACCCCACCCACAATGGGTTGAGCCCTCCCCATCAATCACTAATTAAGGCTGGCCCACACACAGTCTGATCTTATGGAGCCATTTTCTCCATCGAGGTTTCCTCCTCTCAGATGACTATAGCTTGTGTCAAGTTGACATATATTTAGCCAGCACGAGTTGAGGATTATGATGAATAATAATCTTGGTTGTCAACTTGACTGTATCTGGAGTCATCTAAAACCTAGGCTGCTGAGTAGAGGCAGAAAAACCCTAAGTCTTGGTGGCAACCCAGATAAAAGGACAGGGAAGAAAGAAGCTTCCCTACGCCTTGTTTGCCCTCACTCTCACTGGCAGGTTCATTTGCCCTGTTGCTTTGGCATCAGAACCAACTTCTGATTCCAACACAGACTGGTTCTACTGCTGTGAGAACCAGTCTCCAGCAGTACAGGGCTTGAGGGCAAGCCTATGGAGTGGGAGGACCTGGACTTTTTATCTGAGGGAGTAAAACTTAATTCTCTGATGTCAGCAAGGGAGCGCTAAACTTAACAGTCTGGCACTTGGGAGAGAGGGAAACACACACACACTATCAGGGTCGTTCTATCATCTTAGTTCTTTTTTTTTTTTTTTTACTTCTATCCAGAAATGTCCCTCTGTCTCTCTTAATGCTTTCCTTCTAACTCATTTTATTTTTTTCCTTACAGCTTATGTACCCCAGCAAAATCTTTCAGGTAATATAAAATTTACAATGTGGTTACATTCTATTTTTCAAGTGAATGGTTATAATGAACACAAGTTTTTAAAAAATCCCTTATGTGATTAAACATTTTACATATTGCAGGTGAAAAACAAGTTGTCCACATACATTCATATCCAAGCATCTTGTTATAGATTAACAGTGTGAGCAAGCAAGGTATTTTTCTCCACCAGTTCTTTTGCTGGCAGCCTGCATTTTGTGGTTACAAAGAAAGGACCAATTGTTTTATTATTTGTCTCAAAAGGTAATACTATAAGAAAACTTAGAAGAATCACAAACTTTATATATGAAAAACAATCAGTCATCTGTACTTTAAATCTTCAGGGTGCATACCCACTCATCAACAGTTTTTTTTATATCAGGAAGCTGAGGGCAGGAATGGTTTTAAAGAATTAATCATCACCTTTGGTCATCAACCAATCCTAGCAAGAAAGGTACGTCAGCTAATGATAATTTGGCTGCTTTGTTCTTGTACCCTGACCTTGATGAGTCCCTTATTCAGCTATGCGTCTTTCTAAAACTTTAGATTGTCTTCTTGGGTTTTCACCTCAAAGCTGTTTGAGAGAAACATCATATCTTCAAATCTGTTTCAGCTATGATGCACTCTGAACTTGTGAACACATCTCCCAACACTAAGATTAAAAGAATTTAAACTATCTGGGCTACTGGGACTGAGTTGTCTTTCTTAATCATTAACCTAAGCCACAGTCTATATGGCTCCTCAATAGAAACTCATGTATTCTAGCTGTGTGATAATTCCTTGTTTTATTTTTTATCCTCTGCGACCTCTGCTTTATCAGAGGCAGGAACAACTCCCTATGTTAATTTTTCCACTAAACTAACTTCTATCATAATCCCTTACCATATTTGTTAAAAACCTTCAATCATCAAAATCCTATTTAAAGTAATACTATTTTGTATAAAATGATTACTTCAGTTAAATAGTATAGCTTAAGAGGAAATCATCTTCATAATAATGCCCCATAAAACAGGATATTTCTTTTTAAAAAAATCACGCCAGGCATTGGTGGTTCATGCCTTTAATCCCAGCACTCGGGAGGCAGAGGCAGGTGGATCTCTGTGAGTTTGAAGCCAGCCTGGTCTACAGAGTGAGTCCCAGGACAGCCTCCAAAAATACAAAGAAACCCTGTCTCAAAAACCAAAAAAATTTAAAATTAAAATTAAAAAATAAAATAAAAAAATCACGTCATTAAGAGCAGTGGGAATCTCCCCATGCCCATTCACACCATGCCAGATACCAGAGAAAAATGGCAGCAGCAAACATGCAAGGAATCAACAGTAACAAGAAACATTCTGGGGCCAAGGCTCTCGGGGGTTTGCCTAGCTGAGATTCACCCATTAGAGTTTTGTTTCCTGGTTCACAAATCCCCTGAAGGCAATTGCCATCTGCTGCTCCTCTGACATGGCCACTGGTAGAATGGATATCAGCAGCTCTCCAGGAATCCTCCAGGCCTCCAGAACCAACTTGGAACGGCTCAGATATTCAGTCTCGTGGATTGAAAAAATCAGTGGATTCTCAGCCTCCAATGCACGACAACCATTGTTGAACCACCAGGATCACATACTCTAAGCCTATCAGTTCTATTCCTTTAGAGAACATTGTCTAGTTCAAGGATGTAGCTCAGTCGGTAGAATGCTTGCCATATATGCTCAGAGCCTGAGTCCTACTCTGAGAACCACATAAACGGTCACGGTGGTGTACATCTGTGATCCCAGCACTCACGAAGTGGAGTCAAAACGGCCAGAATTCGGTGTCATTCTAGGATACACAGAGAATTTAAGTTCAACCAAGGCTACACAAGATGCTGTCTCAAGAAGGAGGAGGAGAGGCTTGGAGAGATGGCTCAGAGGTTCAGAGTACTGGCTCCTCTTCCAGAGGTCCTGAGTACAATTCCCAGCAACCACATGGTGGCTCCCAACCATCTATAGTGAGATCTGATGCCCTCTTCTAGTATGCAAGCAGACAGAACACTGTATACATAATAATAAATAAATCTTTTTTAAAAAGGAAGAGGAAGAGGAGCAGGAAGATGAAGAGGAGGAGATGAATAAGTAGTTAATTTAAAATGTGGAAGTTGGAGTTGGGCATTGGTGGTACACGCCTTTATTCCCAGCACTCGGGAGGCAGAGGCAAGTAGATCTCTGTGAGTTTGAGGCCAGCCTGGTCTACAGAGTGAGTTCCAGGACAGCCTCCAAAAAACAATACAGAGAAACCCTATCTTGAAAAACAAAACAAAAAAATGAGGAAGTTGAGGTAAGCCCTAATTCAATATGATTGGTGGCCTATTTAGAAGAAATCAGGACACTGACTACACAAGTCAAGGAGCAAAATATCAGCAGGGACCTCCTTGATCTCGGAGCTTTGGCCTCCAGAATAGTAAGACTAACTATCCATGGTAGTTGGTTATGACAAATGGTGGCTATGGAGAGCTAGGGCCCCTCAATACAGCTGAAAAGTGTTGGCCTGGCAAGATGGCGCTTGACGCTCTTGGAGAGAGCTAGAGTTCAGTTCCCAGCACCCACCTTGACAGCAAACAAGCTGCACTTTCCAGCATCTACCCAAGAGCAATAAAGCCACATGTCTAAGAAAGACTTGATCAGCAATGTTACATTTCAAGCAACAGACACAAAGGAGAACAGCCCAGACACCTGACATGGATACATCATGATTCATGACTGCAACAAGATTCCAGTCAACATCCAGCCTCAACTGTGGGTGTAGAGCCCTGTCACTGTTCACCATCATTCACGAGTGTAAGACCTGGAGAAGCATGCCCACTAGAGATGTCCCGTGTGAAGAATGGCACACACTCAACCTAACATCTGTCCAGTACCTTCTGCATATAGCCAGTGCACAGACAACAGTGACCAAGATAGACAAGGCCAGTCCTGGGAAAGCTTCCAGCCAGGAATTCAGACGCTGACACCAAAGGAGTAAACTCTAGGCGAGTGGCCAACCTCAGCTGTCCTGACCCCAGGTTCCACTGTAAGATGGCAGAGGAAGGATCTGGCTCCTCCTTAAATCTCAGCTGGAGGAGCAGCCAGGGCTGCTCTGGCTTGGTGCCTACACCCTGCAGTGCAGTGATGAAATGTGACAGCTGGTGTGGTGTATGACTATGCATGGTGCGCGTGTCAGCGATGCCAAGTGTGTGCGAAGTGTCTTAGCAGTATGTGAGATGGGGAGGGCTGAAGTGTGTATCAGGTGTGTGAAATGTATGTCAGGGGCGTGTGAAGTGTGTATGTCAGGTGTGTGGCTGTGATTAGAGACAGTGCAGCGATCTGCTGTGGGAGGGGGTGTGAGGCCACCTGAGCCACAGTGGTCCCTCCTCCAGCCTGCATCTCCATAGCAACCACAGCCTCGTTCTCAGGCTCCAGCCCCTTGCCCGCCCCGCCTGGTGGCGAAGCGTCTGGAACTGCATCCTCCGCATCCACACCGCATCCCCTGTTCTCCTGCGACTGCGTCCTGCAGCAACTGCCTGTGAGCCATTTCCACGTTTCTCCTTTTGGAATGGGGACGAGGGGGCCAGAATGTGTGCGTGGGTGTGCAAGGGTGCAGGGATGTGAGAGGTGCGAGGATGGGGGGCGGGTGCAAGAGCGTGCAAGTGTGCGCGTGTGGGGAGTATGTGCATGGTGGATATGGATGTAGGGATTGAGAGTCTATGTGGGAGTAATTTGGCTAATCTAATGGCTGCCAGAGCTGTGGAACACAGCCGTTTTCTCTCTGGGGACTCCACTAGAAGTCAGGCTGGCCTTGCTGACTCAGGTGGAGGATGGTCATTAGACCTCTCCGGACAGTTGAGGGTAGCTCTGCTGACTTGAGGTGGAGTGGTCCCTAGACCTCGAGGTGTGTCGAGAAGCCCCTACAGTCCAATGGCAGCCTGGACATTAGAAAAAATTATGGCTGCTCAGCCTGCACAAACCTCATATGAGGCTGGAATTCCCCGCCCTGGGTATAGAAGGATAGCAGAGGCGGTGGCACAGCTGGACCTCAGCCCACCCAGTCCATGGTGACTGCAGACCCCCTCCCTGTGGGCTGGCTCCACCTCTGCAGGTCCGGAAGAGCCAGTGGGAGCTGTACATCCCCAAGGTTGCCGGGGGGGGGGGGCACAAATCTTAGTTCCCGGTGGGTTCTGTCTGCTCCGGGGGTGGGGTGAGGAAAAGGGGGGGAATAGACAGATAGGGAGAAAGGGGTCAGCAGAAGGGACATTGACCAGAGCATTGAGTGTTTAAGTGTCTGCGCATTAGAGGGCATGATGGGGGTTGCTGCGTGAAGGTTCGAGGAGGGCGGGAGGTAGGGCAGCCACTTGTCTCAAACCACCTGCCGCAGCTCGGCTTCGGATGCTGGGCCACAGGTGGCTGGTGAGTGCGGGGAGCCTCAAGCAACCGTGCACCTCCTCTCTGTCCCCCTTTGATTGGGCCGCAGAACAATGGTCCTTAAAACTACAGGCAAACCACTACCTATAGGATACAAACAGACCAGGGCGGGCGCTGCGGCAGGGCCATGGTGTGGAGTGAAGCAGGAGGAAGACATAAGACGGCACCATCGTGCACTTCTGTGTGACGCAGCGTGAAAGAACGCGTGTGAAAGAGTCTGTGACCTCTAGCCCAGCTTTTATGGGCTTTCAAATAAGAGTCCGCATTATTTGCTCGTCAACGTCTTGTCGGTGCACAACACCCAGATCCTGACCAGAGATGCCCCGCCCCGGCCCCCGAAGAGCATTGCGAATGAGTAGCAAACCCTCAAGTAGGATGGAGGAAGGACCCCTTGGTGGTACTGGGACGCCTTCCCAATTCTAAAGTTTTATGACCCCTGCCATCTTCCCAGCGGGGGCCCCCCAAGATTCAGGATGGACTCTTCTGGTGTGCTGAGAGGAGGGGAGAGTTTTCCACACATAACCCTTCGTTTGCGACGTTCTGAGTGGAGATGAGAACTAGAAACTTGACATGGACCTG